TTCATAAGCACGTACGGTCCGAGCATGTGTTATCCTGATGACACATGTGATCAATTCTACACTGAGCTATCCTCCGTGATACGGTCTGTGCCGAGGAGCGCCCGACTATTTCTGCTGGGTGATTTCAACACGCGCGTTGAGCGTGATGCATTGGTGTGGACAGGTGTTATCGGTGCGCATGGCATTGGTTCAGCGAATGCGAACGGTGACAGGCTGCTCTCACTGTGTGCCACTCACGGCCTGACGATCACGAACACTCGGTTTGCACTGAGTGCGAGTGATATAGCAACTTGGACGCACCCACGGAGTGGTCACGCTCACCTGCTCGACTATGCCGTCGTACGTCAGTGTGAGATGCCTGAAGTGCGCATGACACGTGTAATGCATGGAGCTAACTATGGCACTGATCACAAGTTGGTGCAAACCAAACTGTACATATATTTTCTTAAATCGATGTATTGTACTCCTGCCGTGAATTGGCGTAAATGTAACATTCTCTCCCTCGGTACTGTGGCGAAACGTACTGAGCTGGAGAAGGCGATGGCTGCACGCCTGTGTGATGTGGGCTGCATAACCACAGTGGACGACCTGTGGCACCACATTCGCGATCAGGTGACAGTTGCTGCCGAGGAGACCATCTGGCGCGAAAACCGTAAGCGACCTGATTGGTTTGATGAGAACAATGCGACGATTGGCGCATTCGTGTCGGGGAAAAATGCAGCATTTGCTGCACATGATGCAGACCCCCAGTGACTTGGGGAAGAGTAGTCAGTTTCGCAAACTTCGACGGCGACTGACCCGAGAGCTCCGTCGTATTAAAAATGCATGGTGGACGGAGAAGGCGAAGCAGATGGAATGCTACGCCGAACGCCGTCAACACAAGGAATCCTTTGACTCCTTGAAGACGGTGTATGGATCGAGATTGGAGCCGCTGAGGACGCTGATCGATGGTAGTTCAGGCGCTACCTGCACCCAGACTGCAGACATAATGCAGATCTGGTGGAAACACTTTGACTGCCTCTTGAACAATCGTTCAGATATCGACTGGCCTGCATTGAACAGTCTGAAGCAGCACGATGTAAAGGCGAGTCTGGCGGACGCGACGACCCTAGATGAGACGCAGAGAGCACTTGCTAAGCTGCGAAACGGCAAGTGTGCCGGGGCCGAGGTGATCCCGCCTAAAGTATACAAACACGGCGGACCCGCGTTGTTGACTGCGCTGCACCACTTGGTGCAACGTGTATGGATAGAGGAGGAGGTGCCACCTGAGCTGAAGGATGTCCTTGTGCTACCACTGTACAAGGGCAAAGGTAGCAAGCAATGTTGCACGAATTATCGTGGCATCAACTTGCTGAGTAGTGTGGGTAAGGTGATTGTCCGAATCCTGCTCAACCGCCTCGTCAGTCAGGTTGTGGAAACTAAGGTGGCGGAGGAGCAGTGTGGATTCCGTTCGGGTCGCAGCACTATAGATATGGTGTTTGCGGCTCGTCAGTTGTAAGACAAATGCAGAGAACGACACCAGCCATTGCACTCGCTTTTTGTTGATTTCCCGAAGCATTTGATACGGTGAACCGCGAGGCATTGTGGCTGGTGTTGGGTAAATTTGGTTGCCCGCGTAACTTTGTAAGTTTAATTGAGTCGCTGCACAGTGGCATACGGGCGAGGGTGCAGCTGAGTGGAGAGACCTCGGATGACTTTGCAGTTGTCTCTGGTGTGAAGCAAGGCTGTGTCTTAGCTCCTGCCCTGTTTAATATCTATCTTCATGCAACGATGTCTTGTGCTTTTGATGCCGCTTTTGCTTGCGGTGTTCGTGTGGAGCACCGTATTGATGGTGGGTTGCTTAACATCCGTCATTTCGGCGCGAGAACTCAAGTCTGTGAGACAACTATCCGTATGTTGCTGTTTGCTGATGACTTTGCGTTTTTTGCACACAGCGCGGATGAGTTGCAGCGCATGACGAGTACTATGGCTTTCACAGCGGATAAATTCCGACGTACCGTCAACATAAAGAAAACTGTCTGTCTCTTTCAGCCTTCACCGGAGGTGCAATCTTCAATATTGCCGCAAATCACCATTGGTGCTGAAGTATTGGAAACCACCTCCCGCTTTTGCTACCTTGGGAGTGTGATGTCGACTGACCGGTAGCTTCCCAGTGAGCTTCCTATCCGCGTCTCGAAGGCAGCGTCCGCATTCGGGAAGCTTAAGTATCGAGTGTAGAAGAAAAACTAGCTGACCATCAGTACGAAGCTGATGGTCTACAAATCCATGGTGCTGTCCGTTCTTCTATACGGCAGTGAAACGTGGCCGATGTACCGGCTGGATGTGCGATATCTCGAGCGATTCCATCAACAGTGATTGCGACGGATACTCCGCATCAGTTGGTGCGACAGAGTTGCGGACACGGAAGTGTTGCGTCGGAGTCGAACTTCTGCAGTGGACTGCATAGTTTTGCTGAGACACCTGAGGTGGTTCGGTCATGTGAGCCGTATGAATTCGATGCGGATACCGAAACAAGTACTTTTTGGTCAGCTGCGTATTTGGAAACTGTATGTGGGGAAACCGAAGCTTCGGCACCAAGACATTATCAAAATGAGCCTATTATTGATTGCTGGTCATGGGAATCGAAGTCAGTTGATCGGCGTGCATTGTGCGATCTGATCAGGAAGGCAGTTGCCAAGGTGCAGGAGAAAGACCTCTTGCATGCGGAGAAGCAGCGACAGTTACGGAAGTGGCAAACACCGATGGGTTGTACTCCGTCGACATCGAGCGCATGGTGCTGTAATACATGCGGTCGCGAGTGCCTGAGTCAGGCAAGCCTACTGAGCCATGAGTGAGGCCACTCGGGCCACCACCGAAACGATGACGTGTCCTGTAGAGAACGTAGGCAGAAACAGCGCAGCGTTTGAAGGTACACTGCATTCAGTTTACTAACCGTGTGCTTTCATGCTGGGTCGCTATATTTCAGGTGGTGTATTTGATACATTGTCTCATCGTTGTCTACATGAACTATCTTCCATTAACTTGCACACATTGCTCAAGTTAATTGTAGTTAACTTAGCGAACACTTTCCTGATTGTGACATTTAAATATTTGTTCTGACATCTTGGAACTACGGCGGATTTTTTGGCTACCAATTTCTTTCATATGATCCCTTCTTAAAGAGCTATGTCGGGATAGCTGTATGCATTATTCGATTTATTTTCTTTGACACTGTCGTCTCAAGTGACTGGGTGTTGTTTGAAATCCCCTGTGTGGCTGCGCTTGTTGTGCATGTTGACAAGGTGCCTACCTGTCTATTTCCCGCTACCTCGTTCATACTGGTTCCAGGAGACAGTTGGTCATTGCTGGATTGGATGGGGTGCGCGGTCCTTGTGGCCGTGCTAGGCTCGATGAGTGATTCCATGCAGTCAGTGTGGAGCGGACTACGGTCCAGCCACCCCCTTGTGTGCGCTTGATTCCCAAATACAGTGTGCTTGTGTTTGCCCGTGAAGGAGTGTGGGCCGGCTCCGTTGATGAAACGTGGCTCCCATCCACATGCCTCCCGGTCTTATTCCCTCGGGTTTACACTGGATATTAGGTGTGTGGTTGGAGCTGTGGGTTGTGCAGCGCAAGCCATCCATGGTCCCTCTGTAGGCACAGGCGTCCTGTGACTGGCCACAGTGACAGGCAAATCCGAAACCGGGTGCCGTCAACCATATATACGGGGTTCCTGCAAGTGGGTCAGTCCGCCGTATAACACTGCTGCATCGCCGGAACCAAATTTCACGGACACCTAGCGGCTTTCTTGCCTGCGGACAACAGCACGTAACAGTACCTGGCTATTTTCTCGGCGGCCGCTGTAGACGTGCGTATAGTGTGCATGTTTTCTCAAAATGATTTTACAGATCAACTATTAGGTGCAAATCCCATAAAATGCAAAGGTTCGGAAATGCGCGCACCCCTTCTTGATGCACCTTACTTGTGTAGTCTCCGGGTTTGGTTAAAGTTTGTAGAACAATCAAATGCACTCCAAGAGAGCAGACATGCAAGCTGAATTAGCTTTAGCTCGACGCTTGACTGTTATACACCCTTGGAGCTGATAAGACGCATGTCAATTAGACACAAATACGGAGGTGGCTGAACTGTTATATAATTCGTGTGAAAAACATCAAGTTAAGCATAATGGCAAGAAAACAGTGCACCCTATCTCAAACAGACTCCCAGACGCAATGGACGTGGTTACCATATAGAACTGTTAGGAGTCTTGTCGGTGATATCGTTGCAAAAGCAAACCTACGAAAACAGACCACTGATCGTGTGTGTGCAATTATATATATCCGGTCGTTGAAGTACTCGCTGGTTTTCTCTTTCTTGGCAATTGGTGTCCAATTCAAGACAATTCAATTTAAGATACAGGTCTACCAGCCGCACACCGCAGTGAGTGTCACTTCGATGTTGCCCCACAGTGAAATGGGCTTGAGTTTCGGGCTCAGTCATATCAGTGGTCAGAGATCGTATCTGATGCAGATACATTGAAAAGTTATTAGCAACATTTTATTCGGCTCTGTGCGTAAGGCTGTAGTCCTTTATTCCGACAAGTTTGACGTTTTCACAACCCTTATTTGAGTTCAATACCTCGGAATAAGCTTGAAGCAGATTGGGGATTCATAAATTTTGAATGTTTGGAGTATATCTCGGTTTTGTGTGTAGGCTCTTACCGTGGTAATTAGTGAGTTTCACTCACTATGGCAGCGCAAATCAGTGCTATGCTTCCGACTGCTTAACTAAGTTGCGTAGAATGTAGAAGTCAAGATTAAACAGCGCACAATAATCTGCCTCGACGGAGAATCGAACCCCGGTCCCCACGAATTTCCGGTCCGCTGCTCTACCACTGAGCTACCGAGGGCTGCACTAAGTCACCAGTTCATGACAAAGTGGTTTACAAGAACCGTTGCCAGAGCATCAAAACGATTGAAGAGGAGAGAAGGCGCATGTTGAAATTAACTGGAGTGTTCCATTACCTGTGAGAGTTGGCACCATAGTGATCTGTGGCTCCGTTGTGCTCTTTACGGTCTCTGCACCAGCGTTTTCGTCACAATGTGTAGCCAGAACCGTACTGGTTTGCTCGTTATTGGCCGGATCTGTAGAGGCTACAGCCTCTGAGTCGGATCTGTTTGATCCCTGCATAGTCTCAGATAACAGGTTGGTGTCCGAGTCACTTTCGATAGATACCACAGTTGAAGCCGTTGATCCCCTTTTTCGGCGTTTGTTTCCAACGGATGATGGGTTGGTGAGTCGTCTTTTGCATTGCATTTTATCGTTCTGAAACGAGAGCATGATATTACCGTTGGAAAGCGCAGGAAAGTGAAAGTCAACATTCACCATCATTATCGGCACACATTAGCTGAAGGTGAAAAACACACCGTAACTATTGTCCCGTAATACAAACAAACAATAGAAAACGTGACGAATGTGTGATGAAGAGGTGCCACATTCGACTGGTGTGTGGCATTTGTGATATCAAATTGCTGTATCCCATTTTTGGGTTCTGGGATACCAGCTGTGTTTATGAATTGCGATCACAATTTGAACCGAGAGTGCAATACGGCCAATGTTCTCAAAGCGGATCGAGATAGTGCACAGCAGGTTTACGATGGACGATAGTATTGTTGCCCACGGAGTTCTGTTGCGTTTGCCCGGAAAAGCAACACGTCCCGGAACAGATTCCTGCCTATCCCTGTCTGACGAAGACATAAAAAGGATGAAACTGATGTTTGATAGCAGTGTTGGAAAGACCAACACCAGTGGTATCATCATTTTGCATGTGCCACTCCAAGTAAAGAGTACAGCCAAGATGTTGCGCATAATTCATGCGACAGCGGGAGAAGTATGTCCCGCTGTTTCCGGCTGTCCCGGTCACTTACACACAATCAGCATGTATGCTGGATGATCGGAGAATGAAGTACCGGGGGGGGGTCATAGTTGTCATAAGCTAGTAAAGACGATATCTGCAAGGCATATTTGGTGTGGTAGTTCAGATCAACCACACAGAAGCTACAATGGGCCGAGGAACAGTGTAAGAGTGAGAACTTTGCCTCCAGGTAGTAGAAAACAGCGGAGCACGTATCCAGATAGCAAATTGGGCTGTGGTATGAGTAAGGTATGAAGGAGAAGACATTCCGAACAATTGAGAGGAAAAGAATTTTCGCTAGATTGACTCAAGGGTTTAACTCAGATCGAAAGTCCCTAGTGACAGAATACTGACCGGGTCTAAAACATTCTAACCGAGATTATATGCTTCCGTGGTGTCACATGCTACGGACACCAAGCTAACCGTATTTTAAAGCGGATAGTGGAACGTTAACCCAGTCATCACAGTACGGTACCTTTACAGAGGCATCCAGTTAGAACCAGTGGGTACCTATACTCCACAAATGTACCATATGCCAAAAGTACATAACTCACAACTGCCCATGCAAACAATTAGCTCTATGATTGTCGTACCATGTCAATGCGAAATGGTGTCACTGCATGCTTGAGTCTGTAAGAAAATTCGTAGTAAAACACGCTTTATCAAACACCTATTACCGAGTAATCCGCAGGGAAAAAACAAAGTCTGGGTGGCGACCAAAAAACCGTCAGTAAGAAAATTCGAAGTTAGTTGTAATGTACGTAATTTAAATACGCTCATCTGCTGTGGTTCGTATCCCCAGCTGACCATTGTTAGCTGGCCTGTATCGTTGGTTACATTCAATTGTTTCGTGTTTGCTCTTCAGACAGGCTGATTCGAGACCACAGTGTCTAGAGCTACAATGGGAATCGTCGCTGTCACCTCGGATGGACTGTACAATCAGCTCTCATGGCTGGCGTCTGATTTGCCATCCGTTCACTTGATTGATGCTCTCGCAGTTGACCAGCTGCCTCGGCGGAGCGTGTTATTAACTTGGACTTAAGGCCTCTGTCGTCTGATCGCCCCTCAGCGGATCAATCCACTTCTCAGCTATCTGAAGGCACACTGCCTCTTCTTTACGCTAGGCCGGGTCCACCCTGCGTGATCACGAGGTCGGCAATTCTATACAAGCGCTATGTAGACGACATACTGTTCATTAGGAATTCGGATGAGGATATCACGTATGTGACCGAAACACGTAACAAGATACATTCGAAATGACTCTGACGCATGATGGTGAGCAAGATAAGAGCTTCCCGCATCTAAACGTACTGCTAACACGACGACCATACGCTTCGATCAAGAGGTCAGTTTATGGAAAGCCAACCTGGACAAATCAGTATTCGCATTGTAAGAGCTTTTCCTCGATACAGAAAAACGTTTCCTTGTCTTGACCTTGACATATTGGGAACACAAGATTTTCACCTTAGCCGCACTAGAAGCAGGGAGAGATCTGCTTTTCGATGCACTACAGTCCAATGGTTATCCATTGCAGTTCCCTAAACGTCAAAGTGACAGTTGAACGAGTGCCAAAACTCTTTGTTTATTTCCCCTTCAAATTGAGCATATCATGAAAGTCACCGCGAACCGCGTCATTAAAAATGACCTACAAGGCTGTAGAACTACGTTATTCATATCGACAAGACGCTTGTTTACTTGTCCGATTAAGACACCGACTACGAAATGGAGCGTGTTTTACTGTTTATGCAAAGTTACCTGTGGCAGTGGGAACCATTATGTTGGTCGCATTGATCGAGTTGAGGTGCCAAAATCTATGAGCACATTGCTTAGTCGTTAAACAGTCCAACGGGGTCTGCAACGGCGGAATGAGGTGCTTCGATGAGCCACTGTGCCTTGGCAAGCACGAGGTGTTTGCTGAGCACCGACCACCAAGTTAACTCCGATGCGCCATTTACCGTCTTGTTGCGCAATCAGAAACCACACATCCTCAGGCTGATTGAATCCATGGTTATTGATCCAGAACGGCTGTGTAGTGAAACAGCTGACCGTAAACCTGAGTCTACGGTGGTAGCGTAAGGCGTACCGATTGGCTAATGTTTGACCACCAACTGATCGCTTCTCTTTCCGCATTCTACCGCTAGTTGCAAGGTTGTGACTGATGAGTTTGCACGAAACGACTAAGTCGTCTCACAAACTGTGTCTTATACATTTCTTGCTTGGTACCCAATCCAATTCGCGAACACCAGCCTCACTGCGACGAGACGATTGCGGCCGGAACTGTGTAAGGAAAACTCACATTATCATAATTAAGTCAGCGAATTTCATTCATCCTGGTCTATAGTGACTTGCATTTTAGTCGCTCATCAACTGCTGGGTCTGGAGATAGGTCAATGCTGTCCGTTGCTTTGGACAACACCGTTTATCAGATATGATGTAACCGAGCGAGAATTCGTTGACTGACCCAGCAAACAGATTAATCTTATTGTGTATGCTTGATGAGATTTGTTACAAGGAATGCGCAGACTTCACGATTGGATGAACAATTGCCACCACGGTGAGTTTTGAGATATCAGTAGTCCCTGTTCTCTCTACGGTTAGCATATAGAATTATCCGATGAGAGGGCATATCGCGCACATTGTGTAACTTTCAAACCTACGGCAGTACAGAGACAAGGCTAGACGGTTAGATATCGAGTCTCCATTGAAGTCGGTAAAACGGGTCCGTTATACATATACCGAGAGATAGAAAATATAAATTTGAAGTGGTCAAACCGTAACTCTTATTAGAATGTGACCAATCTTACGTAACGTGAAACAAAGTTGACTGGCGCAGTCAGACCGCATGCCATCAGGTGCGTCCATGGGACCCAGGTTTGGAAATATCTCCCTATTAGTATTAACCGTGAATAGGTCTCGTTCGTTTCGCAGCAGGCGTAGAAAAGCGGCAGCTGCGCCTAGCTGTGCGTTGGTCCTAGACCGATCAACTAATGACTCATTATCCTAAGAGGTCACATGGTGATATTTTAAAGATAATGTGACCGGCTATGGTGTCACCGAGTTGAGTACACGGTGAACGGCAGATGTGCAGCCTTGACGGCAGCAGGTTTTTGTGTGAAATTTTCATTCGAATACTAAAAATGTTTAGGAGCAAACTAGGAATCAAGTCTTTGGGTAGGTTTTCTGAGAACAATCACGTATGAAACGTCCCAAACCTCCGTGTTTTGTGTAACGGCCATTTTCATCCCTTGGGAAGTTCGAGATCGCTTGAAAGAAGTATGCCCCAGACCATTGGGATGGGTTTCCATAGCCTCCATCAATACGCCAATGGTACTGCTGCATTTTCAGTCGGCTGTTTGCGATCTTAGGCTTTTTGTGGGGTCCTCCAACCAGCCATTTCATTCGATAAGAACAATCGAAGAGGTCTTGGAAAACAAGCTTAATGATGAAACGAATTTGCTATCTATTTCCATGGCTTCAACGGCAAGTGACTACGTTCTTGAGGCTCTGATCAGTTAGTGAGCTATTTCGATGGAAAGAGGGCGGAAGAAGTGAACCACACTCAAGGCGTTCCGAGAATGGGACATAAGCTGCAAATTCAGGAAATCACGATACCCTGTTGACTCTGGTCGACAATTTCCCGTCTTACTGTTGTGGCTACTCTTTAGTGGGAAGACGACACTCCTGACTTGGAGCGCTCAGTTTCAAACGAAGTACTGGCGTATTCGGTGTCCTTGACAAAGCCTATCGCATTTAAATCCGGACTGATAGTCACCATACATCAAAAAATTACTTGGCCAACCGTTGTGTCCAGTTGAGGCTAACTAGTAACGCCTATGCAACCGGGTTCTTCCGGATGCGAAACCGTGACTCCCGTGTTTATGGACGATGCATGCCGTTGAACAAGCTGTCGAGTGGCTTGACGAAGACAGTGACGAACAATCTGATCTGACTAGTGCATGCCGTCAGTCTCGATGGGGACCTAGAGATAAGTCACTTCCTTAGCTAAAATCCCTTTCGCATAGGGTGCAATTGAATGATGATGGTTTTTAAGTTACTCGATTACCCTTAGCTACCAGTCGCTTCTTCCGATGGTCCCAAGAAAACTACAGCTCTCTTCACTTTGACATCATGTTTCACTGTTGCTTTCTGGCCGCCTCCAGTTTGTCGTTGATTACTATCAGCAGTGCGAAGCTATCCACACATCGAAGCATCGCTAACAGGATTGTGATGCGCTACTAATGAGTAGTGTGTGTGAAAACGAAGAGGCTCAAAGAAATCAGAAATCGTGAATGGCTGTGCACGAAGGATGCGTGATGCACAAATCCATCTCCACCGACATGTTGAGAATGAAGGGTGCAGCGGAAGATTCCGTAAGGCACCAGGAAGGAAGTGTGCAGATAGGCCCAAGTATCTATGTTCGAACTGCTGTACTATCACGACGTGGGTCCTCTACCACATGACTCGTCTGTACCGCGTTGCTTTTTGAACAGGACGAGTAAAAAGTGGGTACTGTTGGATTTGAAATCCAATGGGGTTCCCCCGCGCAGCTTCGTACCCTGCTCGCTACGCCAATGTTGTGTCCCAATATGTGCAGTAGATGAAGCCGCAACCCGACCTCATTATCAGTACGACGGACACGCACGAACGGCAAGCAGAACAAAGGCACAATGCACTTCGAACCGTGTATTCTGCTGAATGACTCTTTACAGGCGTGATGAGTATTAGCGATTCAACGAAAAACGCACAACAAACCAAGCGCGAGGTGGTCGCATGTGCGCGCACAGAAACATCAGTTAGCCCCCACAGCAGGAACAAGGCCAACGTGCTAGAGCACCGAGGACGCAGTAGAGTGCTGTATTCAAAACCACCTTGGGAGGACTGAGGGGTAGCCTAAAAAGGTAACTGGATGAGCGATTCCTAATGCCTTCAATTCAGCTCAAACGTCCAGTACAACTTCAGCGCTGAAGACAGAGGCAGGGATTTCCTAATCCCATGTCAACGTAGGGTGCATCATGTGATCCTTGGAGAGTGAGTGTGGCCTTATGCCGAGACTGACTGTAATTAAGAGCAATTAGAAAACTTGCTGTACTACTCTAACGAATCACAAAAAATCAAAAACATTTAGTTGTGAAGCATCAGCACTTGTGTTTGGTCAGATAATCGTTTATTCTTGTTCGGTTAGGAATTTGTACTAGTGTCATTATTTCCGGGCATTCAATGTCTTCTTTTGGCATTGTATGAGCATCGTTTCACAAAAGCACAGATTTTCGAAATTATCACCTATACGGGTTTTAAAACACTGCACAGAATTGGCCCTTATTAATCCTTCTGGTAGTGTATTCCATAAGGTTACGATGCTTCGTTCGATACAAAGCTGATGTGATATTTTGTGTGTAGAGTCCGAGTGTGTGTGAGTGTGTAGAGTCCGAGCCTTTCACAACGTTTTTCATACTGAAGCTTTCGTAGACTCTGTATCATTTTAGTTGCGATATGCTGTATATTCTCAAGCTTTTCAGTTTCCCATTGGGTTATCGGATGGTAAGCTGGGGCACCGTATTCAAGGATTGGTCTAATGAGCGAGGTGAATAGACGAGGGACGGTTTCTTCGGACCAAATGAGGAAACTGCGTCTTAATGCCCAGAGCATACGAAATCCCGCACTGATTTTCTAGCGATATCATATCATGTCGTGAGAGAACTCCTAAGTCTCTGACAGATGTGTCGGGATGGAGCAACTGGCCGTTCAAGGTGTATGATCGAGTGCCTGGACGTCTGGTGATACTGATGAACTCCGGTTTGCTTACGTTAGGAGGGAGTTGCATTTCAGTGGACCACGTTGACAGTCGCTCTAAGTCATGGTGGAGGCGAGCGCAATCGTCCTGGTTCTCAATGATCCACCCGATTTTCAAGTCATTTGCAAACAGGGCGCATGGTGACGGGAGCTGCTGCGGAAGATCGTTAAAATGAATAAGAAATAATACTGGCCTAAGTACAGCTCCTTGAGGCACGCCACTGGTCGATGGGAAAAGGTCTGTCAGGTAGTGTGTGACCTACAAGCAAAACTTTCGTCCTACAATAAACTCGTGTAACCACTGAAGTAACGTGCCACCGATTCCGTATGTCATCAGTATACGAAGGAGTACCTCGTGATTCAATCAGTCAAACACCTTACTAACGTCGATGTGCACCACATCAAAACAACAAAATTTTATCCGTCTGAAGAAAAGTGGGAGTGATTTTAGGTGAAATATCCTATTTTTGTACACGTTACAATTAATTTGCTTGAACAAGAGGTAAACGACAATACTGTAACGGTTAAAAACTCACGATCGCAGTACCATGATCCCATGTTTGCGAATAGGGATAACCGAATTTAAATATCCTCTCCTGAGAACGGAACCAAAAGAAATACGAGTAAGAGGTGGTAACATAGCTAAAACAATCTTTTTGTAAGGGAAGTAAGAACGCAACAAGTTTGAGTTGAGTTAGATCATGCAGGCAAGAAAACGTTTATCGTTTGAATCCCCGCTATCAACCATACCATCCCCACCCATTTCACATAATCGGTACCACAGTGATTAGCGACGATGCAGCGTGCGTTATATATATATATATATATATATATATATATATATATATATATATATACATACATATATATATGTATATATATATATATGCCTTTTTATTAAACGATCTAACTTATGTACATAACTACATTTCCACTGTGTTTCGTATCTCGCCATCGGTGTGAGGTAGGTCGTTTTGTTTAATTAAGTTAAATTGTTTATAGTGCAGTCGCTTCTCAGGTCAGTTGTCTAATGTTGAAGTGCTGTCCACCTACGTGGTTTTTATTTTTGGAACGATTGTCACAAACGAGTAGTATAACTATTTTTGATCACCCCTCCATTTGTGCATATTGTCTATTCACCTCAATAACCCATTTTCTGTTGACGTTATCAAGGATATACTAAAATATGATTTAAAGTAGCAAGTTAACATAGTATTTACTATTTTGACTGGACTTTCAGAAGAGATACTAATCCTTAGTATTCTAAAATCATTTGACCCCTGGAAGTTTGCCTTAGTTAACTCAACAAGTAAGTCACATCTTAGGTATCCTTAAAAAAGGACGCCAGTAGAAAATGGGTCAGTCATTGTTACGTTCGTCATAGTTGCAATTGACTTTCTGTGAACCTTAACGATTCTTGACTGTTGTCTACTCCGAAGCCTTGTTGAAACGAAATTCCTGGTGAAATCATCAATGGAAAAGAAATTACCATTGAACTTGTACATCAGCCTTGGAATTTGAGCCTGAATTTCCCCCGTACCTTATGATCAGATCAGCTTTGCTGGGTGATTTCGCATCCTGTTAAGAATATACCAATTATATGAAAATGACACTGGTCTGATAAATGACAACGACAACAAGCAGAGGGCTTTAATTGTAATACACAGGTAAAACTCACGAAAGTACTCTTATCCCCCCACGGCAGGGCGGCGTTTCGTACAGCTATCGAGTAACCGCTTTGGCAGAGAGGCAGTTATACTTAGGAAAAAACCCTTAACCTCGAGGCAAAATACGCATGGTCGCAAGTTGAAAGTGAGCAAAAATGTGATTATGCTAATTGAAGAACGACAGCCAAACAGGTGAAGTATTTTGCTAACCTGAAGAGGCAAGTCCAACGCTCGCTCAGCTACTTCTGCGGCCCATTCAATTCTCTTCCTGTATCGAGTGGGCTGAAGAAAGGAAAACAGGGATGAGCACGTTGGTAGGAGCAGAAGTAAGGTCAGTTCCAAGATGTAGTAGATGCTGACTGAACTTGGATTATATCACCAGAGGAGCTCCATTATTCAACGTTTTGCTATTGTTGGCAATGCAATAGACATGGGTATAGGAGTCGGTTCGCTACTACGGGTTCACGTCCACAGTGGTACGTTTGAAAGCTGTGCTTTTTCACACCGGTTAGATGCGGATGAGGCACAATGGGTGGACGCACAGTGGCCTAACGGAGTGTTAACCGTTGAAGACAGCAATAACTTTTAGAGTATTGGTGGTTTTGTGAGTATGTAATTTGGCAATACGGCGCGAACCAAGCAGAAGTCAGGTATTAAATTGCGCACCTGCTCGTCAGTCCTCGGTAGCTCAGTGGACCGGCAATCCGTATGTCCGGGGTTCGATCCCCGTCGATGCCGATTATGGTGCAGTATAATGGTGGCTTCTACGTTCTACAGCAATAACTATTGTTAGCCGCAGTTTCGATGGGGACAAACTGCCGATTTATAATATACAGTCGGAGAAGTGGAAGTGGCTAGTGAAAGTTCTCACAACATTCGGGGTGTATGCGTAAGCAAGGATGGTGATATATGGAAAACAGCGGTAAACGTCAACAAGACCAACCGTGTGACCATAAGTGATTAAACGTAAGGTTGTTCCGATACGTCATCAGCCGATGAGCACACTAACTTGAAGACTACACTTTGAAAAGTATGTCCCGGGGAAGCAACATCAGGTTCAAGACGGTCTCGGTTGCTAAAAACATAACGAAAAGGCGTTGAAAATGGGCAATAAACATGCCGGTTCCATGCGCAAAGCTTTTGGACGGCTTGACTCTTCTATCCTCCCACAAATGATTGATGTCTACAGGTGGCCCTGAAATGGGATACGCTACCCAGGTGTCACATAGATGGCGCAAGCATAATCTCGCTACTCTCGGGATCTCACAACGCAAGGAATTCAATAAAGTTATGGTATTCTTCCCTCTTCCCTACCAACTTGGAATAAAATTCCTCGGAATGAAACGCAGCCTGTTCTACAAAGGCGGACCAACCACTTAAGAGGGTTCCAAAACTTAAAGAACCTCAACCACAGTTAGCGCTCCCTCCTAGGAATTATTCACAAGGCCAACATGAGAGAGTATAATCTAAACTTGGCCAAGCATTGTAACCGGCTGGAAAGTCATCGAGATTTCCTCCCTCGAGTGCGCTAACCGTGGTAGGCTCTCCCAGCGTAAATAGTTTCTGTCTTCGAGTTAATGATGTTAAAAAGCGACTTGAAGACTCATTGCAAGATTACAAATACGCACATAACTCATGTCTCTAGTAAGCAACACAACGCAATGAAACAGTGTGTTCCCGAATTCGAACCAGGTACTTGGGCGAAAAGCCCGATAAAATCACCAGTGTGCACTTAAATGTGTTGCCACTATTGCGCTGATCTTAACACCTCCAGCAAGAGCATCTCACGGGACCTGTTAAGCGTCAGCGTTTTTAAAAGTATATCAGATTCTACAAAAACAAAAGAGGAACGTGTAGAGCAAACAATTGTTTTCAGATTCTTCAGCATCAAGTCTGTTACAGAAAAGCAAGTCCGCAGGACAGTACCGAAGTAAACCATCGATTAGACAAAATAAAACAACTCTCAGAAACTGCTTCAAGTAACCAGATGAAAGAAGGCACGTAGTCTTTCTGGGTCGGATCTGCTTCTCCTCTTGTAGCTGTTGGCCAAAGAAGTTGCAACGCATAAGCGAGGTTATTTCGCATGCAGTGACTTGGGCTTGTCAAGCTTATGTTTGCAGCTTCAGCGGTAGCTGATAACCTTGCTGCTAGTCAGAAGCGGAGTATGGGGGGGGGGGGAGCGGAGAGGGAGGTCCGCCCCTGGCGACAGGTGACAGGGGGCGACATTTTTAGTACCGTCGATTGTTTGGTACCATTTATATGTAGGGCAAAATATTGGGATAAGTTAAGGGTTGAAGATTTTAATGTTACTCTGTATGACCTACAACACATTTGCGCCATGTGGCACATCTGTGCAACCGTTCTTCTCAACAATCACCTTACTTGTCCGATTGCGGTCACTGTTGCCACATGTACTTCTGTGTCCCAAACGATCAACCATGGCATCGAAAACCTGTGCGCACTTTACCCTGAGCCGATTGTGTGGCGTTCGTGCGTCTATTCTGCCCTCAGTCAGCTCGAATATCTTATTACCGCCAGGGTGAAAAATGTAGTTGCCACATCATTGCTGCTATTTGATAGTTCAAGTAGTATGGCACCTTGCATCGAATTGCGAAGGCAGTACGCTTGTCAACATGGTGCCCTGTACTGACCAGATAGTTAGTTAGAACAATTAACATAGTCCTATCCTTTCGGTTTGGGAGCGAATTCGGTAGATCTTCCTTGATTCGATGTTCTAAGTGCCTGATCGTGCGCCTAATGTGCCTAGCTCCACAGGAGCTGGTGAATCGGCTGATCACCATTGGTTGGGGTAGATCAGGCACTTTGTCTTTGAATCTAGAGATAACTAGTGATGCGCTCGTATAAACCACGTTGAGGTGGGCTGCTGTGAAGAGCTTTCAACAGGATTGCACCAATCTTCGTGTACATATCTCAGCTGCCTTGTTCTAATCTCATAGCTGGCGGAAAGAGGTGGCAGGTTATTTGTGTGATGCCACAGTTCTGGAGTACGGAAACGCTGCCAACGGCAGGTTTGTCATTAGTGCTATCCGACAAAACCAGAGAAAAATAAATGGACTGTTGACCAGCACAGAGTTAGCTTTTCGCACGAGACGCTCAAAGGCTTGGCAGAGAAAGAAAAGATCCAAACTGTTGCAGCTGTCTTTGATGCATGTCTTGTAAAGATAGGTAAGAATGTCTAGCAGTTTAACTCCGAACTTCGGGTACCTCCGTGGTGATCAGGATAACCGAGATCTATTCTAAAGCAAACCGAGGTCTCAGTAAACGTGGTATGTCAAAATCCAACGACACGGCGAGTACTTCAACCCCGATTTTGTATTCCTAACCGCTGTGCTTAGCTTCGTCTACCGATCTCAGTGAGCTGGTGAGCAAGATATCAACAGTTAACCGGTTGGCTCTAAGTTCTAATACTAGCTAAGGGGACGAAAACCGCCAATGTAAACCGAAGTTACAATAGATATTGAGCGTTGCAGTCCAAACACAGGACAGTTACTCCAAATCCACCACTTAATATCCCACCATTTGTTAATGGAGGGCAGTGCTGGTCACCGAACGTATCCCCGTTAAGCACGCATCGCTTCGACATGACTATCCATACATACAAGAGAACGCAGAAGTAATGAGGCGCTGCTCGTATCTCCCACCGCCCGTTCAGCGTGTCAGCATGTGGAACGTTACATTGCCACACAGTCAGTAGAAGCGCTACTTTGAAACGGAATAATCATAGGAACACTGGTTGGCTGTGGATTACAGAAGGTGAACTTTCCTGATTGGTGATTGACTATTGTGGCGTGTAATCTAAATGCGATGAGCCAAATAAATCGTGACAAATCCGTCCACTTATAAGTAATCAGAAAGCGAATGGTTCGCAAGCCACTATGATTAGTTTTATCAAATGGTTTCCCAGTGATATGAAACCGATTATTGAGAACAGTAAGCATCGTGTCTGATGCTACAGGCGAAATCGCCCTTCACACTGGTGCTAGTTATTTAGTATCTCTTGAAGAAATTCACAGTAGTGGACGGTGATTAAAAATGCATTAAATATGAAGATCAATATCCGAGAAGCATAATTTTAGAATAATTAAATAATAATGTGTTTGAAGCAGTAGCAAATTGGGTGTTGCCCGCCTGAAACCAATGCACTCCATGACGCGTTTCGAGATTATTTCCTCTCATGAGATAGAGATAGCAGGCATCGAACCCGGGACCATTAGGATGTTAGTTGCGACCGCCACCCTTAAGCCACCGGGTCACGACGGGCAAAGCTTGCGCGTCGCAATCCATCCACACAACGTGTACTGCAAATTGACTTTCCAATAATGTGTTTTTTTAGCAATGTGCCAGAGTGTAAGTAGACATTGTAAACTATTCTTGACAATCTCTAAAATTTTTATGTCCATATATTGTGGGTCATCATCTGTCCCACAATGCATCAAGATGAATGATAGTCTTGGAAACAGGTTTTCGTTTCCAAGGACAGATGGGAACTGCATGTAGAATACCTTCATTGTTTGCGCACCTCATCAGATTTGTGCTACAGGGGTCACAACATCCTCTTGCAGACCTTTATAGTTCATGTGATGAGTCCCACAGACGAAATGTCCTTGGGACATTAGTCTTACCCTTAATCTGCACCGCGGAGGTTGACTTTCGCTTTCTACCTTTTACATAGGCATGGTTGACGAGACCATTTGAAATTTTTCATCGAAAATGTTTCATGCTCATTTTAGGTTGCTTCAGTTCCTTAGGGTTAACCCAAGCATTGATAATACTTGTATCAACAAAGTAAAGTCAAACCTGTCTAAGGCAACCACTCAAGGGACCGACAAAATGTGGTCACCTTGGACAGGTGGTCACCATGGCTCGGTTCATGGGAGAAAAGATTGGGGATGATTTTGGCTAGTCATCATTGTAGGTTAGACTGTACCAAGGAAGCCTATGCTATCATTTCTGATTTTGCTGTCCATTGCATATGTGCCTTTTATCAGGTCAAACTTGTCCACACAACTCATGCTGCTGTTGTAATCTGACAAAATTTAGGGCAAGGAATTTACTTTTGTGATTCATCTTGTTCTGCCCTCACAACCTCTGCTGTGCCTCGTTGGTTATATTAAATGAAAAGGAGATGAACGCTGTGCTTGTCGTTCAATTTCATCACACTCTGCCCGTTAATCACTTGTCGCCCAGTCATAATCACTACCTTACACATTTTGCCATTTTTCAATGGTCAGAACTTTTCCGTCCGTTTTCGTCTTGCAAGCATGTACCATTTTATGTCACATGTATTGAAAGTGTGCTGGGTTTGTAAGAAAATATATAAAAGGTGTGTCCCTTATTGTGTACGTCCTGAATGGGAGAGTTCAGAAATCTTACACCTAGCTGTCGCCCTACAACTGCATGCTTGTCGCCAGCGTACATCGCAAGTCTGTGCATAGTTGTTGACATTACCCAAACCGTGTAGTCTCGCTTTTTGGTTTTTTGAGCAAGTACTATTTGAGTGATGATCCAAGTTAGAACTTGATCATAGAGTCATCAATAGCAGTGGCCTTTCGGTGCGAAAGCGTGCTTGCTGTTGTCAGCAAACTTCGTGATAAATGGTTGTACTTTGAAGAGCCTGTCAAAGTTGCCTGACCCTCGTTTTGGCATCTTAGTTATCATTTAAGTACAGATTAAATGACATGCATCCGAATCATTTGACAGAGATTAGGTTGCAGATGTAGTTGTTAAGTAACTCGGAAGTTGAGCTATAACAATCCCTATAACTGTGAAGTGGCTTTATTCCAATGATTACCTTCCTTTCGCTCTAGGTAACCGGTGTATAGGGCTTGTTATTTTGCAACTAATTGTGCTGTGCGTAAATATTAGTCCGGAAACAATGCTTTTGTGAATATTTTTGGAGAACAGATTTTCCAATAACTCATGAGGAATTGCTTCAGACAGTTATTGTAAAAGAAAGCACCAGAACCACTCTCAGCGATGTACAATGGAGTGGAATCAGAACGCAGTGTACGTTCCCAAACGTGCTGACCCAACGGTTCCGGTTGCGCAAGGAGCGTTTACACTTCCTCACATGCAATTTCTAATGAAATATCTGTTGAGTCAAGAAACTCTTTGTCATCATACTTCGTACCAGGAAATATGTCTTCGTCAATTAGAGTAAATACTTCCTGTGCTGTGAGACTACTTTTGGCGAGTTTCATAATGATAACTTCACTGTTAAGAAACAAACAGCTTCATTAACACATGACATTAATAGACGCTTGCTGAGCGAAATATGGCCGTTGTTAGTGTAAAGAAAATACCTATTTGTAATCAGATTTCCAAAAAAGAATAATGATCAAAGCTCTTATTGTAAGAGCAAGTTGGTAGTTTAGTGATCGCGAACACAATACAAAAACATCTATTTTAATTTTCCGCTGCTGCCTAGGTAGACGTACAGTATTATATTAGTGTCAAGGTCTTTATCAGTGTAGTGTGTCATTTTCTGCATGATCCTATTCTTCACTTCAAAACCATAAAGTGATTTTATAATTACAGTACGGTTCAATTAAATGTTTTGGAAGAAAAAAATTACCCATTGAATGTAAAAAATGAAAAGGAGGTACTTTAAGTGGTTTAAAATATTCGCTGTAGACAGTCAGAAAATCATGAAACATAGCGCCCCCATTTTGAATATGGTCGATTAAACCAACAATGTTGACCTGCTGCTCAGTGGTGGCATGTGATTTCGGTTTAGTATAGGAGAAGCTACTATCTCATACAAATGGGGCGTGGAATGCACCATGACGCTGATCATTATAGTCCTGTTTTGAAGTTGGATAAAAAAGGTGACCCACTATGCAGCAAACCGGTATTTAAGGTAGAACATACAGAAACCCACCGAGCATGTGAAAGGATTAAGGTGTGCAATATTACGGGTCACGTGCGCATTGAAGCGATACGCTGTTTCTACCTTGGTAAAGATTTGGTGGTTCCCGTCCGTTCGGACCGACATCGGAGCTTCGTTAGTAGCACCAAAGGGTGACCAGCGTAACATGGTCCCCACAGACCAGTGAACAATAAATGGACTAGAACACGGTCAAGGCTAGGTCAGATTTTGCGCAAGCGCTCAGCATTGACTGGGTTCGGAATGAAACCCTCCCGATTGTGATGGCCATAAACGTGGCCAACGGGTGCGTCCAAAGTTCTGTTGCTTTCGTTTTCAATAGGACGGGAAACTAAGAACCAGTCTTCCGTTCTAAGTAGTCTTTTAGTGACAGGATCATGATCTAAAATGAAACGACAGACCTTTATAACTGTACCATGTTGATGAGAAGTAAGGTAGTTCTTCTCTATTTGCAGAACGCGAGACGCCCACTCGTGTGTGTCTCAGATACCATGCGGAACAATGGCTTCGGGCCATACGGTAAGTCCATTTCTGATGCCTTGTAGAACGAGCAGGCAAATACATTTACCGTAGTGGCCGGATAGGTGTGGTTCCCTGGGTCCACTGGGACAAAGGGCACTCAATCCCACCAATGTAATCTTGTGGCCAAACCACATGCTGACCAACCGCGATCATGAAATCTTCCCACACTACATTCCCACTGACGCACCTGATTATGGCATGAGGCCACGGTGTGTTTTAAAGTAAACCTCTGCCATTTCGATCACTAGGACCACATCCGAATTGGAGAGTTTCGGAGCTGCTTTCTAACAACACTGAACTCCACGAACGACGGTTTCGTCGCGTTTTGGACTCATCAGGTGTAGACAACCTGAGTTGGAGTGGAAATCGGGAGCTAGTGGTTCACAACTGACGTCTTGATCATTATGCCACTAAGATCCTTGAGCAATCGCTTGGCACAGCGGTAAAGAATTCAAAGTCGGGGTTGAAGTACTCACTATGTGGTTGGATTGTGACACTCAATCTCTATTCACACCTCGATTTACTTTGAAGTTGACCTCGGTTATTACGATCATCAGGAAAGTACTCGAAGTGCATGGGTTTCGATGTTACACTTTTCAACACCGAAGAATCGGTGCTTGCCTAGTAGCATGGATGACACTGCACTCCATGTGCACATGATAGGACAATACAACACTACAAGGGGGCATCTTGCGGTTTTAACCATTGTAGACGCAAGATTTTCAGCATCTCCGTGTACTTCATTCGAGGTTAGATGACTACTGTCCAATAGGGCGGGGAGGGAGTAAAAATTGCGTTCCTCTCTAAAAATATCCTTTGGGTATGTTCGAAGAATAACGAAGGGCAAAGTTTCTGATCGAGCCTTTCACTCCCGCCAAGGTTTATTCTCACTGGTCATTATCCATCAGGATTCACACCGTGCACTAACTAAACAAATTATCATAAGGGTTTGAAAGTGTCCTATTTCCATGCATGGACAAACACGGTGCATAAGTTTCAACAAGACAATGAGAAGAAGTGCACTGCAAGATGGCACCACTCAACCGGTCTCTGCGATAACTCTTAGCGTTTATCAAGTCGTCTGTAGTCGTAGAAGCATTTGCATTGACAAAACAGATCATTGGCTGGGTAAGCGGATCGAAGAGCATACGCCGAAGCGGATTGATAAGGTAAGGTCACAACAAGCAAACGGATAAGGAGTGGCAAGAAAACAACCGACATCTAATAAGAGTACGGGACAGCATGTTTACCCAGACGCAAAACATTTACGGCTGTCTACCCGAAATGAAAACACCGGATGCTGTTGTTTGCCAAGTCCGTGACTTTTTGCTCGGCGCCGTCCTGCTCTTTGTGTACCGAAGTAAATGGAAGTAAGCCTTACGCTTGCATGAGCTTCATGACCAGTGGCCCAGGCCTATCATCCGTTGTTTGGTATCTGTTTGTTTTTTTCTGATCAATTTAACTGTGCATTTTCTTCTCCCATATACTCTACGTTGCTGGTTTGCAAGTGATCAGATAACACGAAATGGCGTCATCTTGTATTGCTCGTCTTATCGTTATCGTGTTCAAACTGATCCAAAACACGAAATGCTTTAGTTTTCTGAGACAATAGTACAAAGTATTCTTACGGAATCTGGAGCGGTTTGTTAAAAAATAACTTGTACATAACTTTGTTAATTCGGTGATCAGGTTGTTAACACAGCCAGGTTTCGCGAAAAGTCGAGAATAAACACTGTAATTATAACAAGTGTGGCTTTCTCATTGTTGTTGTCTTAACTCTGCGGAGGAAATCCTAAGGTGGAGTGTACGCCAAGGCAGGAAAGCCATTTGATGCGACAAGCCAATCGAGCAAGGAAGGTGAACCCAGGTCGCGCTACATTACGAAATGTCGCAGCCTCATTGACTGCTTACAACGTTTGATTCACAACGATTTCCCTGATACGAAGTAAAAAGGGCTACTGGGAGTGCCATGCGTAATTGAAGAAGCGTTGAACACATTTTTTATATTAAGTGAGATTTTTCGTAGCCAGTTTCCAAATCAGATAGTCGTCCACATGCCCGGAAATGCACTAGACTGCAGTTTCAGCCTGTTGGGCATCGTCAGTAGTGCGCATCCATCCCCCTACTCATGAGTATATCAAAATATATCCGCCCTAACAGTTTCTAAACGCTATGCTGTACGTAACTACTGTTATTGGATCTCGTGTATTTCGGGGCCAACCCTGTCCTCTGCAACGTTCTTAATTTGCATGGCAGTGGACGATAAGACGCGCTATAGCACAGTTAGCTTACAAATCATGACGGGCCGAAGCTGTCCCCCGTGGCCCAGTGGTATAAGCTGCTGACTGGCGGTTCAAACCGTTGGTGGTCTTGGGTTGGAATCCTGATGGATCCGATGGGTGCGTACTACTGACGATGCCCAACGGACTGAAACTGCAGTCTAGTGTATTTCTGGGCATGTGGACGACTATCTGATTTGGAAACTGACCGCGAAGAACCTCAGTTAATTATATCAAAATCCCCTACTCAGGAGTACATTTGTTATATTCATCAAAACGAGTTGACTACCGTATCACGTACAACACGTGTCCAATCCACTTCCGAGCTGGATGTATATTTCCTCACACGACTCTGTCTGACGCGTTGATGCGTGGTGTCTTTGGGGTCGAAGAACACGACAAAGTAACGTAACACTTCGCCAGTCACTGAGTTGTAGTCTGCGAAGCGGCCAGTTTCGTCGCAATCCACCATGGCCGGCCATTCAGGGTAACCTTTGGGATGTGCGAAACGATATTGTGCAAAGAGAAGAAAAAACGAACAATGATTTGTTACAGGAACAAAGTGGATGCACGACAATTTGCTTGGGACTGTCGGGGCGAGAGTTACGAAACCAAGTGACACGTTTTATAAATGAAACAGTGGTGTGCCATGGTTAAGTACGAATCGCGCTCAGTGTGCCCATGAATGACGAAGGTAAAAAGGGGCCTGCTTGCTTGGGCAAATTGTGAGGGGTACCCATACTAAATGAGTCTTGTGAAAAAGTAAAAACGACCACTCCTGTACCGCGTTCAAAATATCCGTTGACATGTGTGATCTCAATGAGTTTCATGGTATCATGGTTCACCTAACGAAGTGCTTGGAGTTAAGCGAATTATCACATTGCATTTCGAAGATATTCAAAGTGAGGAGAAGGTAAAGAGCTGGATTGGAGGGAGTGACCCATGACTAAGCGCGACCAGAAGATAAAAGTAATTTCAACAGATACCAAACGGCTGTGGCTCTGTAAAATGGCCACTCTTTAGAATGCTCACAAATTTCCAAAACATTCATGTTTTTAAATTGTAATTATCATCTGAACTACACCCTTTTATCAAAGACAATGTGTCCACTCAACACATCACGTGACTCACATTCGAATACCACGTCTTGTAAAACAAGACCTAATTTGAATTCATTGGCATAGTGTGCGCGTCCAAGCACGTGACATTCGTGGGCAATTAAGGACGTAATTAATCACGTGACCACTCATAAATGGAAGTGTATATATATATATATATATATATATATATATATATATATATATATATATATGGTTGGCGGCATCCGGTTTCCGATTTGCCTGTCACTGTGGCAAGCCACAGGACGCCTGCACCTACAGAGGGACCATGGATGGCTTGCGCTGCACCACCCACAGCTCCAACCACACACCCCATATCCAGTGTAAACCCGAAGGAATAAGACCGGGAGGCATGCGGATGGGAACCACTTTTCATCAACGGATCCGGCCCACACTCCTTCACAGGCAAACACAAGCACACTGTATTTGGGGAATCAAGCGCACACAAGGCGGTGGCTGGACCGTAGTCCGCTCCACACTGAGTGCATGCAACCGCTCTTTGAGCCTAGCACGGCCACAAGAACCGTGCACCCCGTCCCCTCCAGCAACGACCAACTGTCTCCTAAAGCCAGTGTGGATGAGGTAGTGGGTAATAGACAGGTAGGCACCTTGTCAACATACACATCAAGCGCAACCATACCAGGGATATCAAACAACAGCCAATCGCTTGAAATCACCTTATCAAATAAAATATATCTGTTAAATAATACGACTATGCAGACATAGCTGTTCTCTAACTTGGCAAATGAAGTAAGTTGGTTATCAACGAATCCGCGATAAGTGAAATATGTCCACAAGTTCCTCAAAAATGCTACAAACGCAATAAGGTTAACGAAGCTAACCACAATTAGCGTAAGCAAAGTGACCAGTTAATAGGAGATTATTCAGGTAGACAGGGAAAACCGACTAATGTGGAAGAAAAGTTATCTAGCTTAAAATACCTAAGGGGCCAGTTGATTTAGCCCAACTGCGGTGTAGAAGCATCATAAATACAACATCAGCCTCCGCATGGGGCACTAGGTTAGTAATAGCAAATGATAAATTCGGATACTACATAAGTGGACCAAATAAAAGGCGCACTGGTGAAGCGATAGAGAAATGGTACCTAGAAGTTGGATTGTGCGAATGAGATATTACCATGTAAAATGGTTAATGCTCATAGCAAATAACAATGGGATTGCTCACCCGTCTGACCAGATTTATGTGTCGCTGTGGGTTATAAGTCCAGATTATACGCTCAAGTAACAAAGTGAAGGGAGTTCAGTGAAATATTCACTCATGTTTTGAAAATGACGTTGGAAGCACAAACAAGTGGATTTGGAACGGCGTTCCAGGGTTGACAGATTCAGAGAAAGAGGTAAGTTTGTTGGTAATATGGACGACTATATTGCTCACTCCGTTGCAAGTTATCGCATCTATGATTAGTGTTTGGACTGCAATTGAGAAGGTGGCTACATACGTGACTGAAGTCACTCAGTATTTGGTAAACTAATATGAGGTCTACACGTAGCCGCCGGCAGCGTCCACTGAACACTCTGTGTACCTTCAGTCGTTCTTAGTGCGGAAGGTCGTGCAAACCCTTGACAGGTTTCCTTACTTGACGTTGTGTAGTCTCGAAGGCTCCGAGGTTGTGATTCAGTCAAGGTTATCAAGCCCGCATAACGTGTTCGACTTTGGGACGCATGTATGCAATGAGCATTAGTGAGAAGATGGTTGAATCCAAACGCTGGAGGGCCGTGCGCAGGAGACAAACGTAATGGTTACTGTTAAAACTCGGTCCTTCAGGGACAAAATGTATATTCTGCAAACAAAAGGACCAGGCGAAAACGCAGGCAGAGGACGAGTGAAACATATCGGTATATACAGCTAGTTGAATCCATAATTAACAACTGAAGCGGCACGTGCGCGTAGGCTATCAGGCAAGAATCAGAGATTGAATTCGATGGTCAGGTGCATGTCGAACGATCCAAACTCAGACTGAATGCTAGAAGATCGATCACTCACACTCACTTACGCTTTGTACCGCTCCGCTCTGCTACATAAACGCGCACTGAGGATGTCACCTCGGGCGATGACGAAACGGTTGCAGCCAAACTGCCGAGCTCAGCGAACACTCAGACCACTAAGTGAACAACTTGAGATACCAGCATTTGCTTCTATATCACAGTAGCAGTGCGCTTCCCACCAGCTAATGTGTAATGGGGAGAATAACAATGACCTCCGAAAACCGAGGGATAAGTGATGAAAGTTCTGTTCAATTCTGTTAAAAAAACTATGGTCAGAGCAAGGAAGTGTGGTCTATTCAGTTGGCACGACTCGCGTCGCAACAACAAAAAGAAATCGTGCGATCATTGTAAAAAGTCGGTCCTTCAGGGACAAAATGTATATTCCGCAAACAAAAGGACCAGGCGAAAACGCAGGCAGAGGGCGAGTGAAACATATCGGTGTATACAGCTAGTTGGATCCATAATTAACGACCTTTGTGAATGCATGACATTTTTCCTTTGATTCAGTCGAACAAACTCACTCCAATGCGTCCAACTGTTGGCCAATCAGCGTGCATGCGAGAAACGTGTGAACGTCCAATCAGCTGCCGCCTTTCCTTGCGACAGCCTAACGGCTTCCTTGCTGGGCTGGCACCGCACGTTCGTTCGAGTGTATACTCCCATCACATCCTCCCTTTGTTCATGTTCTTGCTGCTGTACTTTGCTAAATAGTCCAGACACCTTACCACTCCGCGTCCTCTTTGTTGGATTTGCCGATGTCGCCTCATTGCCGCACGCAGTATAACGCTCTCTCCCTGATTCATGCTGTCGCCTCGGACATATCCTCAGCTGTACTCGGTTTCTTCTCAGCTTCTTCTCTCCAACATTTACTTCGTATGACCTTTCACCGACTTTCGCAACCACGACTCCTTTTCTCCACCGCTCCTGTCCATCGGGAATTGGTTCAACCCATACTTCTTCCCAAACTGTCAGCTCAGGTAATTCTCGTGCGCCGTTGTCGTAGTACCGTTTCTGAGTAGCCATTCGTCTTTTCAAACTGTTCTGTACTTTCTCAAGTTGTGGCGTGACAGGGCGCAGAAGTGTTGCGGATGCAGGCATCACAGTTCTGGTCCTTCGACTGTATAGGCGCTGCACTGGGCTCAGGCCGATATCCGTTGAAGGAGTGTCGCGACTCTCCAGTAGCATGAGGTATGGGTCCTCCCGAGTATCTCTAGCCTTCGCTAATAGTCGCTTGGCTTGCCTCACTGCCGACTCTGCCTTCCCATTTGATTGACTGTGATAGGGACTGGTTTGCCGGTGTGCTAATTCCCATTTGGTTGCGAAAGCCTGGAATGCCCTGCTGCTGAACTGGAGACCGTTGTCCGAGACTAGCTCCTCCGGTATCCCGTGCCGTGCGAATTGACATCTGAGTTTGTTGATTACTGCCTCCGTGGTCGTGGTGGTGAGTAAATCGATTTCAAAGTAATCACTATAGTAGTCCACCGTGAGTAAGTAATCCTTTCCGTTGCTACAGAATAGATCCACTGCTACCTTTTGCCACGGTCGGTCTGGAACATCATGCAGCATCATCGGTTCCTTCGTTTGCCGTATGTCGTGTGAACGGCATGCCTCACAGTTAGACACATGATCCTTGATCTGACCTGTCATTCCTGTCCAGAACATCAGCTCTCTTGCTCGATTAATGATGTAATTTGCACCCAGGTGAGCGCGATGGACATGCTCCAGCATCTCCTTTCGGAGAGAAGAAGGGATTAGGATTCGACTTTCCTTGAACAGCAGACCGTCACAGGCAGTGAGTTCGTCCCGAAAATTGAAGTAGGGTGTTAATTCCTTCGGGAGCTGCTTCTTTGTTTCGGGCCACCCATTGAGGATAACGTTTCGCAAAGCTGAAAAAATTTGGTCTTCCTCCGTAAAATGCCTTATGTCTTTCAAACGGTTTTCTGTCACTGCCAGATGCTGCACCATGCTAACTGTCTCGATCTCTTTTAGATGATGTTCGGCCACTGGCGGATGTGCTCTCGACAGGGTGTTCGCGATGAAAAGCTGTGTGCCAGGTGTGTACACAATGTCAATATCATACTTTTGGAGCCGGATAAGCATGCGCTGCAGACGGTGAGGAACGTTATTCAGTGGTTTAGTGGCTATCGATACCAGCGGCTTATGACCAGTGTACACGGTTGTCTTTCTTCCAAAAGTATAATCATTGAAACGCTCCATGGCATAGACCACTGCCGGCATCTCTTTCTCGATCTGTGCGTACCGCTTCTCGGCCTCTGTGAGTGCTCGACTGCGGAAATCCAAAGGTCTTCCGTTCTGCAACAGAACAGCACCTATTCCACTCTGGCTACTATCACACTGTACCTCCAAT